TTTTTTTTTTTGTTTTTTTTTTAAATACAGAGTTAAAACACTACAGTACTGGTCGTGGGGACGGGCGACCTCCTAAAGTCGCGGCGCGTTAACGGCCGTGACTTTTTTAATAGCTGGGCGACGTACTGGTGGTTGAAGGCATAGTCACGCTAGGACCTTTTCTACTGAGCTATGGACCTGATTACAGCCCGGTGCATCCTGTCTGAGTGTAATTCCAGTCCGATACATTTACAGCGGCGCTAGTGTGAGTATGCCATTAGTTGAATGTGTGTGCACTGTGGGGAGTTCTTTTCCACGTACCTAGTGTGGCAACGGAGCAGGGGCGCATGAGCCCATCTTCAGTGACAATTTCATACAATGGGTGAGCTTTCTGGAAAAATTCCGGCTTCCTCGCAGAGACGATCACCTGAAACACAAAAAGGAAAGAGCAAATCACACACATTCATTCGATCAAAGCACAAACTGAGAATGCTTCCATTTTTATTTTAAGCCGTCTGCGACCGCACACTTCACCACTTGGAAACCCAGTTTCTGTCAAAGGCCGAAAAAATGTGCGGCACTCGAAGCTCGACATTCGTCCTTGTTTATTGGAAAGTGAGAAACCCATGCCAGCCTCTGTAATGAACGCTGCGACCCGTCTTTCTCTTGCTTTCATCCCCACCACCTCCTCCTTTCCCCCCCCCCTCCTATCCCCAAAACTTTGGACCCTTTCACGATTTATGGGTGTCATCCGCAGGGGCCATGCTAATCTTCTCTGTATCATTCCAATTTTAACAGATTTCCTGAAGGACTCCGCCACCTTCTTATTCGTTGCCCGATATGAATATTAGTTGCCCGATATGTCGCCTTGACATGCCATGCTCGAATAACTGTGAGTGTAAGTCTGCCTGCATTCCCACTGGCATGTCAGAACATGCCCTATGTTTTCAGCAAGATGTCATTGAGAGTATTGTTCGTCATTGCGTGGACTATCCCCGATTCCATTGCCCCCCACGTCGTCTCCGTTCATGTCCCCACATGTACCAATGGACTTCCTCCAGCTGCACCCGTAATTTGAAATACAATGTCCTCTTTTAACAAATAACATGTAATTTGACTTTCTCCATCTGTGCCAAACGAGGAACGGATGCAGCAGCCTCAGTCAGACATCATACTCTCACATGAGCCGCCTAGAAGACCACGTCAAAGATCGAACAAGTATGCTCTCCGTAACGACCCCGATACACAACTTTTTCATTCCAACTTTTCAACTTTTGATCCAAAAGTTGTTAATTGAACCTTCTGGTGCTGTCTGTTGACTCTGTTGTGACGAGAATGACGTGTCTGACTCCTTATCTTTCCTGCACACATCATTCATACTGCTCGTACCTAAGGTTTTTCTTTTTTTATTTTTTTTTATTTTTTTGGGGTGCTCACAGGACCCACCCCATTCCTACCTCAACGTTCTTCTTCCTTAGCGTAGACTCTGCATCTCCATCTACGAGGGGCACTCTTGACCCTTACCTCGGATATACCGGACAGCATTGCAGGCACCAGCACTAGGCCAGGACAACCCCTCCCAGCCCTACTTGAAGCACACTATCGGACGAGCCTTGTTGTACGGGGCACTTCGGTCGACAAGCATGATCGTCCTATGCACTTTTCTTATGAGCACCACTGTAGCCCTTTAGCAAGGTACTAGTGTGTGTGACAAAACAAACCACCTTTGTACAAGAGGAGGCGGCAGTGGACATAGAGATTTGGTTAAGGAAAGAAGAGGTGGGGACAGGGCCAACAGGGTGGGCAATATTGCTTTCGAAGCGCCTCTCGTCACATGCTGCCACGCACAATACAGAGTTCCAATGAGTGTCAAGTTGTCAAGACACTGCAAATACATGAGAATGGTGAGCACGAAGAACAACAGTATTTCTCTTTCTCTGTGCACTGTGCAGTGTGTGCACACTAGACAAGTCATGCTCCTAGCGTCTTTGTCCGAGCTAGTGCCTCGCTGACGGCAGGCTGGCTGTTCTGTTTCACAGATCGAGCGAAGCATGCTGAAGAGATTTGGTCCGCAGTTTGAAGCGAGGTGGGCTCATAGCTTCACGTATATTGATCAAATGATCCTGTAGAATGGCCCGTCAAGGGCATTCATTGCTGAAAAACGCATTGATTGTTAGTGAAATAATGAAAATGCGTCGAACAATTTGTTCAAAAAACAAAAGAATGTGTCTTCACCCGAGCAGGTCAGGTCATTACAGCCGTATCTGGTAATACTTTTCAGTCTAGATACAGCGATAATGACCGGGCGTTCTCTTCGGGTGAAGACGGTGCGGCAGCGATCCCCGTGTGGCAGTGTAAACATTGGAAACTTCCATGGAATGCTCAGATCCCATTTTCTGTTCTTGGAAACACTTGCTGAGTTCACAGGAATCTGTAGAAGTGCAGCAACGGCAACTGGTAGTTAGCGAGTGCGATAACTTTCCGCAAGGCAATGAATGCATCACATTTTCACAGAACCATGCTCTGGTCTTTTCATGGATGACATCATCCGTTAGAGTCGCTTAGACCTTATTAGAACAAGACAGAGAAAATAAGCTTCTACGACTGCGTTACACTGTTATTTTTCAGTTTTTTTTCCTTTTCTTTTCTTTTCTTTTCTTTTCTTTTCTTTTCTTTCTTTGTGTAACAAAGACCTCAAAAATACTCTTTTCTTTTTTTTTCTTTGTTTAACAAAAAACCTCAAAAAGCCTCATGGCTATGGTTCCTCTCCATGGCTAAGGGTTTTTTTTCCTGTGTGAGGCCACAAGCACAATTTGTTTGTTGGCAGCCCTGTTTTTTTGTTTTTTTTGGCGGGGGGAGTGGGGCTGAGAGAAGAAGGCATGGCAACTGCAGATAAGGGCACCGGACCAATCCAGACCGAAAACCGGACGTATGCCTGGATCAATCCAGACGTTCGGCAAACCGGACAGGCCCAGATCTGTCTCTTATACACATCTAGATGTGTATAAGAGACAGGTCTGGTAGGGGGGGGGGTTCAAACAGGCCCTCAATACTTAAAG